CACCTCCTGGACTCATCCTAACACTTCACATCCTAGAAACAGCTGCTTGTTTCTCTGTAGACATAAGTTATTCCTGCTCCCAAGTCTTTTGTCATGTTTCTTCTGCCTGGAAGATTTTCTCCTTTCTCCCTTACATCCTCATTAGCCAGCTAAAATCGATTCAGTTTTCAAGACTCAGCTCAGACATTACCGCCAAAAAATCCTTTCTGAATCTCAAGGCTGTGGTTTTTCCTTCTGCTCTATGCCCTGGTAATATTTATTCCTGTTTGTGTATTGGTAATTCTCACCTCCAACAGTGCTGAGTCTGACTTAAATTTATGTTAGTAAGGCCTCCAGCCATTCATGACAACTAATGGGCACACAGAAAATAGGTCTTACATGAGTGAATAAATTAATGAAGAAATGAAAGTGTTATGGGAAGATGTACTAAGTAACACTAAGACTTATGCTTCAGGAAGATAGGTCTGGCAGCTATGTGTAGGATGATTGAAATGGAAAGACACCAGACTCAGAATCAAGAATGAGGGGTCTATAAAAACAGTTCAGGCAAGAAGGTGGCAGTGAGGATGTCAGGAAAGGATCAACCTGAGAGAGATTTTGGAAGCTAAATCAATAGAATTTGGTGACTGACTGGTGAACAAGTTGGGAACAAGAATTTTTAGCCTTTCTGTGCATAGGTCATCCACCAACAGAAGGGTGGTACCATTAACAGAAAGAAAAGAGTTTAGAATAAGAGGAAATTGGAAGAATGGACTGAAAGAAGGGAAAAAGATGACAAGAAGGTAGTAACATATCCAGAAATAAAAAGATGAAAGGGGAAGAAGGGGGTCAGGAGGTTGCAGCTTCACTAAAGCTAAGGTTTGGGAAAGTTATAAGGAAAGCGTAGTCCAGAGTGAGAAAACTACAGCAAAGTCAAGCAAGATGTTGAACTTAGCCATCTTAGTTCACCAATCACAAGGCAATGGCTTCTCAGACTTGTAGTCTCAGTCTAAATAAAACCCCTACTCACAGTTCCCCCTTCTCTAACCTGCCCTTGATTTTCCATTATGAAATTGTTGGTTGGCACATATCACTCAGCTACTAAACAACACTGGGGATATTTCTTTCTTTCTTTTTTTTTTTTTTTGAGTTGGAGTCTCACTCTGTCGCCCAGACTGGAGTGCAGTGGCCACTCCCGGCCACCGCAGCCTCGACCTGCTGGGCTCCGGCGATCCTTCCACCTCAGCCTTCCCAGTAGCCGGAATTACAGGCATGCGCTACCATGCCTGGCTGATTTTTTTGATTTATTGTAGAGATGAGGTCTCGCTGCCCAGGCGGGTCTCGAAACTGCGGGCTCAGGCAATCCACTCACCTCAGCCTCCCAAAGGCGCGGGATTATAGGCTGAGCCACCGAGCCCAGCTTCTTTATTTCACATAATCTTTTAAGGGTCTATTTTGGTCATGCTAAAAATAACAAAACAAGAAATATTTGGTCATCTAGGAGCATATTTTTATGTCCAAATGAAACCACAATTATTTAAACAATTTAAAAATGTCCAGGTCATTGATCTAACCTCTTCTCACTTATGCTAGAGAAAAAGAATATCAGAGACAAAAATGCTTTAATTAAGATAAGATATATGAAATAGACCACTTTCTTCATGAAAAGGTTATCTTGTTACTTAGGTCATGCTGTGTCAGGATTAGGTTCAACTATAATAAGAGAAAACCCAAAATAGCAGTGACTAAAATATGTAAAGATTTATTTTGTCACATAAAAGAAGTCTACATATGGCAGTCCAGAAATTGGCATGGTGACTCCATGAAGTAGGAGAGATTCAAGCTGTCTTCATGCTTCACCATTGTTCAAGTTACTTAATTGTCTAAAAAGGATGCTGGAACTCCAGCCATGTCAAATTCCAGGTAGGAAACAGGAAAAGAAAAGACTGAAAGCTGTTTTCTCAGCTGTCTGTTCCTCTTTTAATTAAACTTCCTGGTATCCTCTTCCAACAATTCATGCTCCATCTCACTGGCCAGAACTTATTCATATGGATACATTCTAAATTGGCTTCCTACACAGACCACTCCTTTCAAGCAATTCCAACTCCCAGACTTTTTCCTTCCCAGTCTCTTACCAAAATCTACATATCCCTGGGATGAATCTTAAGAGCCCAGGCTCTTCATTTTATAGATCAAGAATCTAAGTTCTAGAAAGGTCACATAAATTACCCAAGGTCATGACTCTGAGTCTATTGCTCTTTCTCTAACACGTTGGTGCCCATCCTGTATCTCAACCCCTTGGGCTTCAGGCTGCTGTTAAGGATTGAAAAGGGCCTGCTGCTAATCCTCCTCAGAAAGTATGTCTCTCCTAATAACAGCCATCAGTGCACTGACTTACAACAATGGATACTGGAGAGAGATCACATTAGAACCTGGTTTCCTTCTGTTGTTATATTGGTCAGAGTGCTTTTCCTAACTCCTCAACTCATACCTTAGAGAGACACTGCTGAGGTTGTAAGGCCTGCACATTTCTGCAATGCACCTTCTTGTGACTGTGTGGTGATATTCACTGACGCAATCCTCCCACACTTCACAGAAACCATGGCAGCAGAACTCCTAAGGCATCCCCCATGCAGCTTTACAACTTCCTGGGGGAAAGAGTTCAGTTCATGATTGTGTTGTAATTTCTGTGAAGGGGAACTAAAGTCCTAAAAACATTCATGAATGAACCTTTTCAACAGCACTTGGAAGACAGTCAGAGACTTCACCATTAAAACTGAGCCAACACAGTAATGAAATTCAATGACTGCCACAGGAGATATATGAATGCCTCAGGGCAGAACAAAGGGCAGTGGAATCAGCCAAGGGCAGTTACTTCTACAAATGCACGTACCTGAATAGGAACTTGAATGGTGTTCAAGGAACAACACTCTATCTTTCCAGAAAGTGTCATGTGTTCTTTTTACCTCCAGTGGCACTAAGAATCTAAATTAAAACATTTTTATAGTTTGGTATTGATGCTGGATTTTAGGGAATAATCTTATCAAGAGTCTACTGAGTGATGATCTGAGGAAGCATTGCATTTTTTTTTTTTTAAATGGTAGAAGAAACACTGGCAGCTTGCCTTTTCTGCAAACTTTGATTATAAAACCAAAAACCCTTGATGGTTTTAAGGACCTTACAGCCCATCTGATCTGACCACACATTTTATAGGTAAAGAACTGATCCCTGCTAACCTGATAAAGTAGAAATTGTCTGTCCTAGTCTGCAAAAATCATTCTACTCTAGAAGCAGGAATTAATGGAGTAGGAACCTGGGCACTAAATTACAGTTGTTATGTTGTTAAGACTAAGAGCATACACCGGCCTGACAGAAATAAATGCTTTGGGCCCTACCTATTTGCTTTCCATTTATTCCTGTGCCATTTTCACTCTCATGCAAAGATACCTTTAGGTTTCCTTTGGGAAGTATGAGTGTACCCACAGGCCTTTATGTAAACATTAAAAATAATTCCTTTTTCATTTTTATTTTTTTAGAGAAATAGACTTCAAGAGTCTCCCCAGAGACACTTAAATCAATGTCTTCTTTGTAGAAATTGGCATAAGACACACTCTTTTAAGATGGCATGGATAACTCTCCAATTGGACAATGTATGGCAAATTACTTTCAAAAATAGAAAGTGCTTTGTAAAAGACACAGGTTAGTCTACTTACTTTATGTATACATTCCATTCCACTTATTCCTCCAGCAAATATTTATTAAACACTTACTATGTTCCAGGTCTCAGACTAGATACTTGGTATGTAAAATGAAGTTAAATGAGATTCCCGACACTCCAGGAGTTTACAATGATACAGTCTATTCCAGATCTTGCCAATCACCTTCTCCCCAGACACAAAACAAACACAATCAACTAGGTAAGCTTTCCATGTTATGTTTTGTCATTGCATTGTGTATGTCTTCTCGTCCTAGCATTATCACAAATCTAGTTTAATAGTTGAGTACGGTCATCCCTCCTTATCTGCGGATTCACTTTCTGCAGTAAAGCACAAAAAGATATTTTGGGAGAGACCACATTCACATAACTTTTGGTGCAGTATAGTGTTATAATTATTAAATTTATTATTAGTTATTAACTTGTCACTGTGCCTAGTTTATAAATTAAACTTTACCATACGTATGTACAGGAAAAAACATATTACATATGTAGGGTTTGCTACTACCCATGGTTTCAGGCTTCCACTGGGGGTCTTGGAATGTATCTCCTTAGTTAAAAAGGGACTATTATCCATGCTTTCAAGCATCCACTGGGGGTCTTGGAATGTATCTCCTTAGATCAAAAGGGACTATTGTAATTAATTGCTTACTGCCCGTGTCACACACTAGAATTTTAGCTTTATGGGAAAAGATATTGCTTCTCTTTTGTTCTCTGATACTCAGCACCCTGCGTGGCTGCCATAGAAAAGCCTAACAGATATTTGTTGAAGGATGAACAAATGAATGAAAAACTAAATGATGAAATATGAGTATAATACAGTACAATGCGTACTATACTGGACTTGAATAGTACTATGGGAATTTATAGGAGGAGCACTTAAAGCCAGCCTTGGTGGAGATGATTTCTGGAAGAGTAATTCATCTTTTCAAAATCATATACTTCCATGATACCGTCCTCCACTGACCTGTCACTAGTTTAAGTCGAATTATTCTCTGTGAAATATCAGGATCATGCCAATAGTAGGACATCAAAAAGATTGGTTAAGTGACTCAAAGAACCCCGCGGACAAAATCCAATTAGAACACCTCTGGCGAAAAGCCAGAATGAATGAAAGGGTTCACTTCTCCGCGTAGATGCAGAAGCGGGAAACTCTCCTCCGAGCTTCCACGTCGGCGTTGGATACTCCGGCCGCAGTCCCACTGGTCACGTGATTCCGGCCTCGCCCTCTGGGGCGCCAGAGCCGGCCTGCGCCTGCGCAATGCTCAGAGACGGCGGGCCTGTGTGCGTGACAGCTTCCGGCTTAGTTTCCCCGCCTCCTGCTTGGCTGAGGCGGTCTGGGGCTCGGCAGTGGCCGGTGGGGTAGAGGGGGCAGGGCGTGGTGAGGTAGGTGGGTGCCGGAGTGGGGTTCCCCGGAGCCATGGCCTGCTCCATTGTCCAGTTCTGCTACTTCCAGGACCTCCAGGTCGCCCGGGACTTCCTCTTCCCTCACCTGCGGGAGGAGATCCCCAGCGGCGCCGTGCGGAGGGACCCCAGTAAGTGCCCCTCGTCTCGCAGCTCCTTTTCCCGGCCGCCGGCGGTCCTCGCTTGGCGGGTTCGGGTCTCTTACTCGCTCCACTCCTTCTGCCTCTGCCCTCTGGACCCCTAGTTCTACTTGCGCCTACCCCCTTCGCACTGGGACGACCCCCTGGTCTCCTCGTCCTAAAGCCCTCTTGGTGGTGTCACCTCTCGATCTAGTTTTCTCCTCAGCCCCTCGGCTTCCTGGCCAAAAACTGCGTTTTGCTTCCTCTCTCCTCTGCCTATCACCTCTTCCTCCTGTCACCCCTTACTCCTCCTCTCCCCCATTCCCAGCTTTCTCTCTGAGTGTCTTCTCCATGTCCCTCCTACCTCGCTTCAGCCAGGGTCTCCTGTTTCATAGTGCCTGCTCCGTGATGGCATCCTCCCCATTTCTTGCCGTATGTCAGCGTTCCACCCTGGTGTTGCCCCAGCGCCCACTCTCTTTCATCCCTGGGACTGTAGGGTTCTGCCACCTCCCCTTCCGAAAGTGTTGATTATCCCCCACTCTCCCTTCTTCCACCCCCTCTCCCTCATTCAGATTTAGAGAACAACTGGCTGATTGACAAGAGAGTGACTCTTAAGGTGGTGAGTAATAGACTCTCAAAGAAGAACATTAACCTGTCAGGAAGTGAGCGAGAATTTACTTTTGGAATTAAAATTACAGTGACATAACTTAGAAAAGTTGTTTGGCTTTATTGAAATGAGAACCCTTCCACCCATTATTATTTCAAAAGTGTTAAATAAACCCTTCCCCAAGTAATATAAAATCCTAAGACTGATTTATTAAATACTGCCTGGTTTCTCTGAATCTCCTTTTTCAGAGAGTGTGTTTGGTGTGTATTGGTTTTTTGTTTGTGTGTGTGTGTTTTTTTTTTTTTGCATTTCCAATATGAAGTATATTTGTCTTTGAAGTATAGTACTATCACTTTGCTATACTGGAATGGTGATATATAGCCCAGTAAATAAGCTTCTCTCCTTTTTTAAAATTTAGAAGATTTAAAATCAAAACCATTTATAAATACTCTGTACCAATCAGTTGGCACAGGGTAAATATTCATAAGGTTGTGGTACCTGCCTCTAGGAGCTTGTAGTTTACTGGGAGAGGCTGACAACTAAATCAGTACCTACCATTCAGTGTGATTGAGATATACCTGGAGTGCCAAAAAAAAAATGTATACACATTTTAAGAGATGTTGTCTATATATTACTTTTAGTTCACTATAATCAGAAGTGTCTGGACACTGATAGTAACCACTTTGAGCACCTTTTGTAATTGCAGAAGTCAAATGTGACTTGTATTCATCCTTTGTTATTGGTACATATTGAGTATTACAATTTTAATACAGTTTCTCCTTTCTTAAAATGTGTATACTTTTTTTGGGCCCCCTTTGTATATGAGGCACTTCAGAGAAAGGGAGACCTTAATGGCATGGTATTTAGAGAACTAAGAAAAGCTTAATGACTGAAGAGGAAGATGTGAGGGGAAGAGTGGAGGAAACTGTAATAGTAATACAGAGCTAGATTATAGAAAGCCTTGTGAAAGTTGTCAATTTCCTCTGAAAGAAATGACATGGTCAGATTAGTATTTACTGCAATCACAATTTGTTGAATGCCTGTAATGTGCTCTGGCAGCGGTGTGGAGAAGAGATTGGAAGCAGAGAAATTGGTTGGGAGGCTGTTCCAGTAATCCAAGCAAGAATTGATGTGAGCTTGAACTAAGATAGACTTAGCAGGATTTGAGAGGAAGAACTAGATTAGAAACATATTAAGGAGGTAGAATCTGCAGTACCTTGTAAAGTTCTGGTGATGGGGGTTGTAGCTGGTGAGTGAGCGCGAATTTAGGAAGCCTTTGGCTTTTGTCTTGGGCAAGGGAATATAACAGAATGAAGAATCCAGATTTGAACCTTTTGCATTTAAATGTTTGTGGTATGTCCAAGTGAGGAGGTGCAATTTAACACTAGATATAGATGTCTAAAACAGTAGGGAGTCCTGGGCCAGAGATGTTAATTTGAGAATTACCAGCAAAAAGTGTCAGTTCAGTCTTAAGAATTATGTACATTATGAAATACACTGAGTACTGAAGATATAATCTTCAAAGAGCACTGAAGTTTGAGAATCAAGTAGAAGTTACTGGGAAGAAAACTGAGAAGGAGTAACAGGAAAATCAGTTGAGAGTAATGCCCCAGAAATTGAGGAAGAAGAAAATATGATGAAAGTGAGTAATGGTCACCAGTTTTGCAAATGCTGCAGCAGTCAGGTAAGATGAGGACAGAAAAGTGTTTGGGAAGGTATAGGTGACTGGGACCTTAGGACAGTTTCAGTGAATGATGGAGACAGAAACATATTTACATAATGTTGAATGGTCAAAAAATGAAATATATTATTTCAAGGAGCCTGGTTGTGAAGGATAGTAGATAGAGTATTGTAGACAGGGGATGTAAGAAAAGAAACACATCTTCTCTATCCCTCTGCCACTCCCCTGGTCCAGGCTCTCACCTCACAACCTGGGCCATAACATCTGTCTTCTTCTAATGCATCTTCTTGCTTCCTTTCTTGATTTCTTGTAGTAATTAGTTTTCAACAGCAGAATGAGCTTTTAAGGCATAATTTAGATTACAACATTCCCTTGTTTGTAATCCCCTATGGTTTTCTATTGCACTTAACATAAAATCTAAAGTTCTTACATGGCTCCTGATAACCTTGAGGCTCTGCCTCCTGCCAGTTCTTGAACCTCCAACTTCTCTCCCCTTATTTGTTATGCTTTAGACACTCTTATGTTGTTAAACCAACCAAGCACCTTGTGGCTGAGGCCTTTGCTCTTGTTGTTGTCTGTGCCTTGGATGCTCTTTGCAGATTTTTACATGCTAACTGCATCTTGTCATACAAACCTTAGACCAATCATCAGCTCCTCAGGGCAGCCTTTTCTAACCACTTAATCTAAAGTGGTCTATATGACTCCCATGCTCCCACTTGTTATTCTTAATCATATCCTGTTTTCATCACTATGTCTATACTGTCCAGTGTGGTGGTAGCCTCTAGCCACATAAGGCTCTTAAGCCTTTGAAATGTGACCAGTGCAACTGAGGGATTACATTTTTAAAATTTTACTTGATTTTAATTAAATAGCCAAATGTGGGTATAATATTGTACTAGGTACTAAAACTCAGGTACTTGCAGATTTAATACTTGCCCAACGTCACACAGTAAAGTTTAGATCTAGTATGTGAACTCAATCCAGGCAGTGGGGATAAAATCACACCCTAAACATCTAGGTAAATTTGCACTCTGCCTATGAGTTTGCAAATGTGGTTTAATTTATTACTCTTTTAAATCAAATTCTTAAGTTTATGTATGTTTGTTATTATTGCGGCTGCCATCAATTCATAGACTATAAACAGAAAGGATCTCTTAACTAGTGAGCTTCTTTGCAAAACTTGTACAGATGTTCCCAACTTATGATGCCATGGCTTACAATATTTTTTACTTTATGGTGGTGTGAAAGTGATATGTATTCCGTAGAAACCATGCTTTGAATGTTGATCTTTTCCAGGGCAAGCAACATGTGGTGCAATACTCTCTCTTGATGCTGGGTAGTGGCAGCAAGCCACTCCTAGTCAGCCACATGATCACAAGGGACTCTACCCTGCAGTGTACTGTGTCAGTAAATTACTTGAGATATTCAACACTTTATTATAACATAGGCTTTCTGTTAGATGATTTTGCCCAATTGTAGGCTAATGTAAGTGTTCTGAGCACATTAAAGGAAGGCTAGGCTAAGCTATGATGTTTGATAGGTGAGGTTTGTTAAATTTATTTTCGACGTACTGATATTTTCAACTTACGGTGGTTTATCAGGACATAAGTCAAAGGACATCTCCTATGTTGCAATGGTGATTTAATTTACAAATAAAAATTAGAAAAATAGTTTGTCCTGCTATAGGTAATTTACTTGAAATTTTTAGAATGACTAGTGCTATGGATTTCTGTATCCCTGGACATATTTTTTATGTCACTGTGGGTTTGGGTCCCCACTTAACCTACATGCTTTCCAGTGAGATTGGATTTCTAGACCAGAGCTTTTTGAAATTTGCAGTCAAGTTAGGCAAAATAAATAAATAAATAAATAAATACATGTACAGAGGTAGAGTCAGAATATTTGGAGATAATTTGGGTGTTATAATATTGTGGATCTCTTAATTTATCTAATTGTAAAATAATTTCTTGTTGACATTCTAAAAATGTAAAGCAGCTTTTCTTCTTGCTCCTTTTAACAAAAAGAAGACAAAGCATGCAGAAAATTATGTTGGAGTCATCAAGTAAAGTCATGTTTTTATGCAGTCGTTAATCACTGAGAGAAATGTGCTTTTTTTTTTTTTTTTTTAAGGATAGCCTGAAATCATGGAATTACTTTTCATGATGGGATATCAAAAGGGTATAATATACCCAATTTTTATACATAATGAAAATGCTTTATCTGCTTTGAGATCATACTCAGAGAAGTAATCTGAAAATAGAACATTTATAGGAATTTCAGAAAATGTATATTTTTATTGAATTTCTTTAAGATTTGAAGATCTTACAGATGAAGTGTTATCAGTGAAGAAATTGAGACTTGAGTGTACTTTCATTCAGCTAATATTTATTGATTATCTACCATGTTCTAAGCACAGAATGAGCTTAGAAGTAAATAAAACAAGTCCTTCTCAAGGAGTTTTTGGCTAAATAAGTATATAAAAAGATTGTTGCAGATGTTATTCGATTTGGCACATGATAGGAGGAGAATCAAAGAATGTTGTCTATTCTATATAGGAAATCCAGGAAAGTCTCCATATAGGAGGTAACCTTTTCACATTAATAGTTTAATGTCCATCAGGTGGAGAAAAAATAGACAAGGCATGTGAAACAGTATTGGATGCAGACAGTTGAAACAGTAAATTGTGGTGAGAGGGTGGGTATGATAAGCATTAAAGCTGAGGAG